GTCGGTAGTCCTTACCACCAAACCACATGCTTGTTGTGGAAATGATGTCACTGGTTATTCACCTTAACCTTTTTCTTCCAACCTGTATAATTAATAATCAACCCAGTTGCAGTTGTATTTCTTTGTAATTGTAGCTAGTCCTCTAATTGTAAAACATATTGAATACTCTTCTTATGCTTGAAATACGGAATTGTGTGGAGATCTCTTCAAAATGTATTCTGCGAAGAACCGGCCGCGAAGAACTGAATCGGTACCCCTACGGCAATCGCCTGGTTTATTGCCCTTAGTTTGTTTTGGAGAATCTTTAGCTTTTCCTTTATACAGTATCTTATTTAAGCCTGTTGTATTTATCGCATCAAGAACCGTTCAGAATGCATTACTGCATGCAGGATTTATTTTAACGTGCAGTTCTACATAAAATGTGCAGTTCTAAACCCATTTGTGCAGTTCTTAAAACACAAATGTGCATTCACCAAGCTAACAGAAATAGCCTTAATTAAAACAGTCTTCTCATTTATTCGTTACCCTTGTGGATGCTCCAACAAATTCCAGAAATGCTGTCATTAATTGAGCATCACAAATATAAACGTTTTCTGGGGGAGGACTCCAGGCCCACCTATTTTCCTCACAAATCACTTACGTGCTGGGGTAATGGAAAAGAAGCTAAAATTGGGGCGAGCGAAGCTCCCCAAAAGAGATTAGAGTGGGAGAATCTAATATTTTTGCTGCCTCAAATGCAAATTTAAGGTTGTTATATATCGAGTATCCATGATTCTCAGTTACATGTTTTGAAACAGTTTTGTGAGTGGTTGGGTAAAACAAATCATTGTCAGAACTTATTTTTAAAAGAGCCTCTAGAATCAAATTATTTTGGGAACACTCCCTAGCTCCCGCACCCAAAATCGAGTTTGTCTGGCCTTTCTCCAATTCCCCCACCCAACCACACTATTATTCTATCACCTATATGCAGGTAAAAATCCTTCGACCCCCCCCCCCGCCCACCCCAGTCAAACATCCGTTGCCTTCGTAACATACCTATATGTGCAGTTCTAAAATAAACCCTAACTGCATGTGAACTGATGATGTAGTACTCAGCCACTACTCCCTAAGCTGCATACAGGGCGCTAAGTTGCATACAGAGCGCAATATTAAGAATGATCATGCAGATCATTGAAATGAATATAACTGGAACGCTACCTTCAGATAAACTAAATCAATTGAAGCCGAATCCGACACAAATCTGACACAAGACATGCATTGTCCATATGATGATTGACTAATTGTGCGCTCTTGGCATGCGTGAAAAGACTGGAACTGGCTTTCAAGTTTGTCTTCAATTGATTTCCATTCCAGTTATATTCATTTCAATGGAACAGATGTCTAACACGTGGAACAGAAAAGCTTTACAACTTACCATTTTTAAAGTGAATTCCACAAATCATTATTTCAGGAAGTAACAACGATGGCATTCTATCCCTCTTTACCCGTTCTCGTGTCTGGCAGTCGCGATTTCACACACAAATTCTTCGACATTTCTAAACCTTCTATAAAGAAAGTATACAGATGATTCATCGGTGACGGCAACCACCACTGATCTCCCTCCTTCCTCCAATATTTTACGCCCGCTTCAAGTGCCCGCCACTTTGATACACTGATACATTGTAGTTTTGATATATAACTTGTATTGGAAACTGTTTTGCTTATAGGAACAGTAAGGGCAATTCTTTATTCTTTTATTACCAGATAAGGATAAAACTAGAGTAGCTAGAGGAAAACTGTAAGCTCTCTTCCCACATGCGATCGAGGAATGGATTTACTTGGCGGGGAGGAGGGGGGAGTGCATACCCTTCCTAGCGCGGGCAAAGAGAAAAGAAATTGAATGGAGCCAAAATGGGAATAGTAACCTGATTATAAAGTTCTCAAGCATTAGACTGGCGTAGCTGGCTTTGGTGGTTTTGTATTTGGTCCAATCTCACACCTTGAACCATGCCTAAAGCTTGATAACCATCTCCCACCAGAAATGGCTGTATGGTCTATCTCTAATTCGACTAACCCATCTCCGATGCACATTGCAGGAATCGAATTACTCCGGGGTCAAAGAGATAAAATATATACATGCACTAACCGTTGTTTTCAACCAACTGTTAAAATTCAAAGGTGGATCAATAAAAGTGAGTTGAGATAGTCATTGCGTATTTTATATATATGTAGTGTTTTTGTCACAAACATTAAAACTTGCGGTGGGAATAATTCACGTTGAAGGGTTTTGTACACAGTGTGTACTTTTGCTTTTAAGATCCGAGGACATGGAAGAGAATATGTCTGAAGTGTAACGCTGGTCGTTACTTATATACGTTCTAAATTAACTTGTTCTTTTTAGTCTCCTGTATATTTGTACTGTACAAATATTTTTTGTATAAAGGGCCCGCAGTAATTGGTTTACACTGTTGTGGTGTCACTGCCGTTCTTCTCCATGTTTATTGTCTAGATATCCATTTGTTCTGTAACGCGTTTTTGGCAAAGTTAAATAAATAAACGGAAATTTCTATTGTTTGGTCTAAACGTCAATTTATGTATAAAATTTACACTCGAAATTTCCATCTACAAAACTCTTCAACTTTAATTCAATTGAGTGAGATGCCCAAAACCAAATGGCTACAGTACCTTACCATGGCTGTAAGTGTATGTACAGTAGATGTACGTTAGAGCTCGCCAACTGGATTCTGTAGTTCAGTTGGTTAGAGCGCTGTACCGGAATCGCAGAGCTGCAGGTTCGACTTGCTTTTTAAGAGACACTTATATATATTGAAGTTTCCAAACGGCTAAACACCGTTTTCAGGGTTCGAAATTTATATTTTCTTTTACCCTATAAAAGGAATAGTAGATGAAATTTACTGTAATTGTACTAATCAAAAGATTAACAAGCTTTCGTTGGTAAGGATGCAACTACCTGAAAAATATAAGGAAACTTTCTTCTCATATTTGTAATTGCATGCCTACCAACGCAAGTTCGTTATTATTGGCACTACCTACACTGGCAATTTCTATCTTTGACATCTTTGACAATGCTATCTTTCACAATTATGACGTAAGCCTCCACCCAGCAGACCCTTATAACTAACAAACATTTGAAACGTTCCCTGTTGGTGGTCATTGGTTAAAGGTCTGACAATATCCTATTCAATCTCGCACCTAGAGAATAGCTCTGGGTACAAGTTTGCTGATTCCGTTCAAAATTCATAAATGATCAGCTTATCAAATAGACGACAATACCGAATGTCGCTTCTTTCGTCTAGGTTTGGGATGGCGTCAGTAATTGTTGCATTTCAACATTTCCTAATGCTCACAATGGGAACAAGGTAAAATAACACCGAGCTAAGAAATGGCACAGTCTTGATTTGTATAAGCTGCATGTAGAGTTCGGTTCTGATATAACATTAATGTAACACTTACCCAAAATGGTAAGCGTATTATGCATGTGTATTATTCCAGTCATATTAGGAAAAAATGTAATATACAGTCAAGGAAAACTAATTTCCAATTCATCGAATGACATCATATCCTGGCGCTTTGACAGTGAAAAAGTTGATCAAGATGAGATTGTTTTACTTTAAAGATATATTAATTTCTTCTCAGAATGGCCCAAAGTCTACACACACCAAAAATCATGGGGATTAGTGGTACTTTAAATATTTTAACACTTTCCCTTTGGTCAAATCTTAGGTTTCCGCAGTTAGATTCTCAAAGAATTCAAAGGTACGATCATAACAATTTGTTGACAAAATTCAGTTTATCGATGTTAGCGTTCCAGCTATCTGTTATCCCATTGACCATTACCTAATATAATAAATTGAATGATCTTTTTTAGTACTTACTTACGAGTGGCAAAGATTCATTGATATTCCTTTGGGAGCTATCTACATGTATTACTACTATAATACAAGACAAATCCATCCATCAATCAATCAATCAATCAGTCAATCATTCATAATTATTCAATCAATCAATCAATCAATCAGTCAATCATTCATAATTCTTTCTTTCTTTCCTTCCTTCCTTCCTTCCTTCCTTTCTTCCTTCCTTCCTTCCTTCCTTCCTTCCTTCCTTCCTTCCTTCCTTCCTTCCTTCCTTTCTTTCTTTCTTTCTTTCTTTCTTTCTTTCTTTCTTTCTTTCTTTCTTTCTTTCTTTCTTTCTTTCTTTCTTTCTTTCTTTCTTTCTTTCTTTCTTTCTTTTGTTCCTTAAGACCATTACATAGAAATCCAGAAACCAGTGTTCCAATGATCTCCTGGTCCAGGAAAACGTCAAAGCCACAAAACAGGACGCCTTTGTTTGATGTTGAACTGTACCTCACCGTGCACATATCTCTCTCCTCCGTAGAGGCCTGCATGAAGTTTCTAGTGAGGGAAAAGTGAGCGCGCAAGGAGTGATGGAAACGTGAGAAAACTAAGAAATTATTAAAAGTATCAAACATTCTTTGTAAAGTTCGTCACCTAAACAAAAAACATCTCATAACTCTATATCACACTCTTGTTTACCCACATTTATATTACGGTAATATACTATGGGCTAGCAACTATAAAACAAGATTAAAGTCAGTATCAACGATACAGAAAAAGGTTCTGAAAATAATATCATTTTTGCTTTATATACTTTCTCATCTTCAACCCTTTTTTCAACGCTAGAAATACTAAAGATTAATGATCCAAAGATTGAATCATTGAATATAAACTATAATTAACACAATAAAAAACACACGTTTTGGTTTTGTTGGAGAAGGGGTGTTTTGGGGGGAAGTACTCTGTGTTTACGCCAAACGACATCCCTCCTCATCGTCACATACCTAATACTGTACTGAACTGATAATGCTAGTCAGGAGTAGCGACCCCCTGACGTATCTGACCAAGAGCACACTTGGACAGTCCCTAACCAGCCCACTTGGGCAGTCCCTAACCTGTCTAAGGTCCACAGAACCGCTTAGATAGTCCCAATTATTTGAAATATATATTTATATGCGACGTTACTAGAGTCTATGGGAAAGGAAGTTGACATATTGGAATACTTCTTCCCTGGAACCCAATGTTTATTTATTTATTTATTTATTACCAGTAAAGGAACCATAACAATTTTTATTATTTACCATATTGTAAAACTTGTGTCCATAGGCACTTTTACACCTCTGATAGTCTTTCACTTTGGAAAGCTTTTATTACCAGCGAAGACCAGCCATAACAATAACAATCTTTTATTTATTTACCATATTATAAAAACTTGTGTCCATAGGCGCTTTTACACCTCTTATAGTTTTTCATTTTGGAAAGCTTTACAGCAGGAAGCCATTGTTTCCTCATAATATGCTAATTATAATGAGATCCTTTTACCAACTACTATGTGGACAAGGTGTTGGAAGCAAATGCAGTAACCAAAGTGCAAGTAAGATGTGATGGATGGGTGGGATTTAAGCTTTGTAACATGGAGCTCGAAAGTAAATCCTTCAAAAGCTTTGAGCAAATAATGCCAAAAAATTGCACGTGATGCATAACTTATGCTCCTACTTGCTTTGCGATTGGCTATTGGTTTTAGTTGGGATACGTAAAGCTTTTCATTGGCTAAAAGCGGTTCTTTCATTAATATTCACGTGAACATAGGGTTAGATGGAAAACACGGAGTCGGAGTTCCGGAGTCCCGGAGCCCCGGAGTCGGAGTCCCGGAGTCGGAGTCCCGGAGTCTGACGTCATAAAAATATGGAAAACACGGAGTCATATGGAAAACACGGAGTCTGACGTCATAAAAATATGGAAAACAC